AGATTCAGACTAGACATCAGGAGGTGCGACTTCCCGGTCAGGGCGGCTAGGATCTGGAACCTACTTCCAAGAGAAGTGGTGCTAGCTCCTATCTTGGGGGTCTTTAAGACAAGGCTAGACAATCACCTTCCTGGGGTCATTTGACCCCAGTGCTCTTTCCTGCCATGGCAGGGGGTCGGACTTGATGATCTGCTCAGGTCCCTTCTGACCCTAGAAACTATGAAACTATGAAAGAGTGTTCCATCTTCATGCTCTGCTGCATAAAACTAAGTTGCTCAAACTCCCCAATTTCTTTCAGTTTTCTTCTGCTCCCAAGTGGCTTGGTCTAAATTTCCAAGCACTACAATGTCTGCAAATTCTTCAAAGCAATTCCCTGCATGACTCATCTCAACCAGGAAGGACACTATGGTACTAGTGAGAAACTGAGGTAGCACAGTGCAATAGCTCCATCCTTCTACACTTTAAAGTCGGACTTGTCTCTTGTGTTTTTTCTTATTCTTGCTGCCATTCCTAGACAACTGGTAGAAACTTTAGATTGTTAAATGAAACTCCGAGGGACACTAAAATAATACTGCATAATGTGTGATGCCTTTTCATTTCTTTTCACTCCAGTATCGCAGTTGCTTAATACAGACATTTTAGGTCATCAGTCATGGTACAAAACAACTCAGGTTCTGTTGCACAAATACATTGTTTACAACATGATCCAAGCATTAGGCAGAAATAAATGTTCTCTTTAAATAAATAATTCTAAGCAGCAGCTCTTCAGGCCACTTTTTTTTGAGTCCTACACCTCAAGCCAGTTCTAATTTAGGACAGAAAAACAGAGAAAATAAAAATCAAAGGATTACCAAAAAAGCAGATAGCTGGAGAGTGTTCCTGGCATTCTGGCTCACACATGGGAGCATTTGAATTTAACAAATGAAAAAAAAGGTAGGGACACACCAAAATAGAAAGTGAGGCTGTGCTCTATTCAAATTCCTTAAAAAGTTTGGTTTGGAATTGCACCTTCACTGCAGCTTGCAACTCTAGATTAGACCAAGCAGGAGCAACCATTCCCAGCCAGAAGAACAACTAAACGGCCAAACCACTCGTTTATTCACAGACTCTCTGTTTCCCTGCAGATCATTTCTTCCTGGATATATGCTGCATTCCAAATTAGCATTGTATCAGTAAATGGGCAACTTCAGCGCTATTAGCTAATATCCTAGAAACAGAGTAGGAACTAACTTCTCTGCCTTCAACAGACCACCCAAATTTCTCACAAGGAAAATTTTTTACAAGTGGTTGGCACTGAAAGTATTATGAGAGACAAATCCATGGCAACAGAGACTTCATAGTTATCGTCATGCTGCATAGCAAGGACAACTTCAACTTGGAGAGGATGAAACTCATCATGCTCCAAAAAAGAACATGGAAGCGTAGGCATTACCCATAGTGTCTCTTTGCTGTTCACACTACAGAGCCTGTGACACACGCATCCCAGAAAGCACGGTTCATTATGGTAATGTCTATCTTCTTAATGCAAATAAATACAGGGACCAGAAAAAAGGAGATAAGAGGGGCATGTTACCTAGCAGCGCTGCTGTAAATACTCGGAGTTACGTAATGGCTTACTAGAACAGCATGAAAGCCCTCATAGCTGAAATGTAAATTTATTTCCAACTATGACATCATCCACCACAATCAAAAATTAAGATGAGAGTTCTGCAGGTCTTAGTCACTAGTCACTCACCAGGGAACCAGGATTTTCATATGCACGCCTTCCTGAAGGAATCCAACAATAACATTTTTCCATACAGCAGAAATTCCTGCCGTGTTCACGCCTTTTCATTTCAGTAACGCCATGGTCCAAGACGCCAGCCTCCTGTAATGAGGTAATCTGACAGTGTAATTTGTAACATTTTATTTTGTCAAAATGGATCTTGCAATTGCCATAGCAACTCAAGCAAAACAAGAGATGGACAGAGAAAATGAGCTACCATGGTTCATTTTAATTCCATCGGCTTTTGCTCCACGTAGGACAGGGAACGATATAGAACTCTTTTCAGAGAACGTAGGCCAAGGATGTGCGATTTGCAAACTTCCTCCCACCACCACCCAGATTTGTGTGTGTTAAAACTTTAAGGTTTGTGATTCATCTTTAAACAATGTTGGAAAGGCAAGAGGCAGTAGAAAAACAGCAACACTCTAGCCAGCAGCATTTTAAGTAAAAATCTCAGCAGTCGCCTGAACTAACATTTCTATTTTTTTAAAATTAGTTCTATTAAATTTGCCATACAAAGCTAGAGCATTTAATTTCCTGTTAATAAATGGGTTGCTTGATGTTCTCCTTATAAATCAGTTGACTTGGATGGTATTGAATACATACTTGTCTTAATGCAACAGGGTTGAGGAGTGGGGTTTTCCTGCTGAAGATGGGATTTTAAGAAATTAAGTCCAGTCCTTGCAGTGGCAGGACAAGGGCAGTTTCTCCATCTCCCTGCCTGACCTGTGGCCAATCAAAGGGTGTTTTTAATGTTGGACATTATGTCTAGTAATTGTGAGCACGGGTCGTTTCTGAAGATTTTAAGTAAGCCATTTATCTAGGATGGTTTAGGGCAGACAGTGACAATCCTGCCTTAAGCAAGAGGTTGGACTAGACCAGTGGTGCTCAACCCTTTTGGCTAGCGGGCCAGATGGGAAGTGCCCAGGCCATCTACAGGCCTGATCCAGCTGATGGTCCTGATCCAGGACAACAGAGCCCCATCCGGCCATGTGGAGGGGGGCAAGGTGCATCGTGGCTCCAACCTTTCCCCACAGGGGAAAGAGGGTGTGGTCCAGCCCCATCTAGCCTGGTTAAGGTAGGTGGCCCGACCTCATCCAGCTGTAGGGGTGGGGGGAGAGGGTGTGACCTGGCCTTAACCTGCTGTGTGGGGCTCAGGGTTTGGGAATATGGCAGCGGGGAAGGGAGGCCATATTTATTGCCACCAAATTTCCCAACCAGGGGCAGATACCTATGGTTCCACAGGCCATATCTGGCCAGCAAGCCAGAGGTTGAGCACCCCTGGACTAGACAATCTCCTGAAAACCCTTCTAGCATGGCTTTTCTTTGATTCTGTGATTTGTGTCCCTAACATTTAGCAGCCAGATTCTCAAGATGGCTTAGCTCAGCTCCTGTTCAGCATCAACAAATTCCAGTGTTGTGGCAGAGCTCTGCACCCACAAGCTCCTATCATAGCACGTGGGTCTAACCAATGCACTGAGCTCTTCTGAATAATTGGTCTCTTGCTGGTGCCTAAAGGGAAGCCAAACTCCACACTGATAGGGGCTGAGTTCTACGCAACTGAGAGCTGAATCAGTCCCCAAATGATAATCAATTATTCTAACTAAAGTGCATCAGCAGCAGCACCTAGCAGCTAAATTCTAGCCCCTCCCTTTGGGAAGGCAAGGTCAACCTCACACTGCTGGGACCCCTGCTGCATCTCATATCAGTCTCATTAGAATATTCCCCCTTCCCCTTTCTTTAGTTTTTTCACCTTGATTTTGAGCACAAAAGCAAAGGCAGAAGCTCAGATTGTCAGACATGTGCACTGTCCTTCTCAGAGGGTCTATGTGCACATCTTTTTTTTTTTTTTGCAAAAATATTTCTCCATATAGAAAT